GGCTGCCAGACGTCAGTCGAGGGGCAAGATGTAGTGCCCAAGCTCCCGGTGAGCGCAAGATTTCATGCAGAGCTCTGCTGCCGGTAGCTGGTTTCGGCAGCTCCTCGCCGAGGCTGCCAGCTCTCTCCATGGAAGGTACGCATGCCCCGCTGAAGCTCTGGGTGCCCCGTTGGTGGCCAGCCACAGCAGCACTTAGCTTTTCTGAGTCTGAGCCTTTTTTGGGCTAAGGCCCTAAAAACATGCCTGCGTTGTTCTGTGGCAGAGCCAAGAAATGGAACTTGCTTTCCTAAACGTAAAGTCAATTTACTCCATGCCGGACAACTGATCATTCTTTCCCACTCCTTGCTTTGGATTATTTTCCCCCAGATTTATTATCTCATATTTTTCAAATGAAATTACTTTTTCTTCTTTTTCTAACGACTCTCCACCTCCTCTGCATTATATCTCCTGTCTCTGCAGTCCCAGCTACTCAGTTTAAAGCAATCTCTAGATCTCATCTCTCTTCCATGTCAAATCTGACATGAGTTGGCAATGAAGAAAATGAAGCAGACTGGGGCTTCCTTTGCAAATGCTTCAATTCCCACTTTGGAAAATAATGCTGCATCTATACATAAGACTGGAAATAGCACAGGGTCAAAGGCCAGCCCTTTGGGGAGTAGTAGTCAGCAGTCCACGCAAAAGATTTCAAAGAGGGGGGTGAGAAACAAATCTCCAGCCACAAATACCTCTTCTCAGCAAAATAACTGCCAGTGGCAGTGAAGCAATGGAAAGGGCAGATCGCTAATAACATACTTACTTGTGCCTTGGGCTGACTTCCACAAGGTGTTAGTTGGCAACATCATGTGGCTTCCATGAGAGCTGGCAGAGCTGTATTTTCCTTTGGATAAATCCAAATCTTTTGTTTTCTTTCCACTGTTATTCTAACACCATTAGCAGGAACTAATAGCCACTTATAAACTAGAAATGGCAATGTAGAATATTAGTGCAGAATGAAAATTATATTTTTCCCCAGTGTATCAGAATGTGAAAGTTTATTTGCACTAACATAAAATGAAATGCTGACAAACAGCTACATGGAAGGATGATTCGGGTAGGCAAAAGTAAGAGTTTTATTTATCTCTCATAGCTCTGCTGGAGAATGAGAGTAAGGGGTGTTTTCTATTGCAAACCATTTGCTTGAAAGTCAGTCAGTCAATAAGCTCAATGACCCAACATTTTAATTCCGCTGTCATAACCAAGCTTGGCAACGTGTGTGTGTGCGTGCGCACGTATGCGTGTGTGTGGTGGGGGTGTGGTAATGGGGACAGGGCAAGAGGATCAGAAGGAGCCAGAAGAACTGTAACCAGCCTCCTCTTGATTTACACCATCCTCATCTGAGGCCCATCTTGAGTTACAGCACGTCTTTGTCCTCCTTGCCATGGCCAAGCTGGCCTTCCACACCATGAAGTTGGTGGGATAAGGTAGCCAAGAGACTGTGGGGGCCTCTCACCAGTCCCTTGTCCCATCACATTCCTGGGCAGAGCACCGGGCAGCTGCTGGGAGCCCACCTGGGAGTGCTGGGTGCTCTGCTCAGTGACCCTCCCTAGTTACCTACAGACCTTCTTTCGAGCCTGGCAATCCTCACCCCTCTCCCCTTTTAACCTGGGAGCTGACTGTTTTCCCCTTTTTCTTCTAGCCCTTTGCCGGCACAAGAGAGTCGGACGTTTTTGTTAGAGCCAGTCCCTGGCTAGAAGGAGAATAGCAAAAGTGGCAGCTGTGCAGCCTTGCCATCGACAAAGAACAGAGGAAGACTGGTGCAGGACTGTGCCTCTCCCTTAGCATATGACACAAAGCAACATGTCTCTTGACACCTATCCTCTACTCATGTTGCGGGGCAGAATTCAAGAATCACAACACTGAGAGAAGCAGAAAATTGAAAGAAAAGGCAAAAGAGAATTTCTAACAAAATTTTATTGGCTTGCATTGCAAGCATTTTTGAGGCAAAGATACCACTCACTGAGCATGTTTTCCAGTCATGAAAGACATAAATAATAATAATTACTATTATTAATTTTACTTTCTTGGCACTACTTCAAAGTTACATAGCTCTAATGATTTTGATGCGTTTTATTCTTAGAACTAAAGCTATTACAGCTGAACATCGTTATGAGTGAGCATCTAAGAAATGGAAACTTCAATCGGTACTACCATTTGGAATAACTTGTTCAATTTTTCTGTAACAGAGAGAACTCCACTTTGAGCCTTCTGAGGGTAAGCCACTTCCTAAGGGAAGACAATTTCTGTCACCTGGTAGCATAGTAGAACTGAGTTCTTCACACATACAGGGACTGAAGCTCTTGCGACAAGCACTGCCAAAGAACAAGCTACACTGCAGCAAAACCCAGGTAAACATTTGTTGGAACAAAGGTGAAAGTGTGGAAGATACAAGAAAGGAAAAGTATGTGGCACATGGAGGTTGATAATATTACAGCTTGGTTTGTTGCCCATAACCTTTTATTCAGGTTCTTTTCCTCTTCCATGGGACCGAGGGAGATGCTAAAGGCTAGATACAGAAAGAATTCATGGTACCTAAAGTGAGACTTAGGCAGACTCTACAATGAAACTATCATCCTGTTCCTTACCTAAAATTATCAGAGACTGCAGTTTGTAAAGGTAAAAGTTATTCACATTTAGCTGCTTCACCTCTTTACATATGCCCAGTCTTGGTTCCTAGCTCACTCCCAGGGCCATCATAGAGTTGGAAAGTAGATATTTCTTCTCCTAAGTCTCCTAAGGACCTGACTTGCCAGGCACTTCCAGCACCTCAGAGGCCAACAGGATCAAGTTGCTCAGAAAACATGGCAGACATCAGTCAATTCTACACCATGCGGGGAATGGGTGCCATGCACTCCTTTTGGTCACTACTGATATAATTGGACAATTAGTTCAAAAAGAGTTTATGCTGACTTAATCCCTGTTCTCTCTGAGAAGACACAAACCCATACTTGACTAAGCCATGTCTGTCTTAGCTTGCGGCACTGTCCATCTCTCCTTTTGAAGCTGTACCACAATGTAGCAACAAAACCCAGGTCTCACTAGACCAGAGAGCAAGCACAAGTGACCACTAGCCTCCATTCAAGGCTCTCACTCATGGGCAGAGGAGCAAAGAGGGCCCTTCACCAGCCACTGCAAAACAACCATATGTGGCTGATGGACACATTTCCTCCTCGCGGCTGATCCTGCTTTTCCCTTTAGTGCAGCCATATTCACTCTCCGGTTTACTGACTTCTTTTCTGCAGTCTCTGGCTCAACTAATCCCTTTGTGCAGGGTGGCACAGCAGTACCAGGAGGAATTGAGGATGTTTCTTGGGCAGGTTAGTCTAAAAGTTGTTAATTAGGATAAAATTGTGGAAGGCGAGATGTGAGTTTGGGCATGCCCCTCCCTCTCCTTAGAAGAGCGGATCAAACCCACACTCTGGACCAAAACTTCACGGGTCTACAATAAAGTGTTTGCTATAAAATGGTGGGCATGGCCACTCTTCTCCTGATTTAAAGGGTGGCCCTGCTCCATGCTTGTAAAAGATAAATACGAGGCCTGAATTCCCAGAGACGTTCAGGCCTGTAGATCCTCAGAGGATGGGAGACTTGCTGTAGCCCTGAGTGAGATGTCTGAACAACGGCACTCATCCATTCGGCACATGGATTGCTTCGGATGACGTTCAGAGGCACTGCGGCACCTAACATTCAGGCATTTACTTCTATGAATCACTTAGGCACGCATTTCCAGGACACCATGCACCAAGTCCCTATTATGCGTTGACCTTCTCTACCTCCTGCTGATAAGCAAAACAACTGCTGCCCATCTAACTGAGCCTTTTGTAAACTAGATGCAAATATTTTTTATCCTATTTAACGTCTCAGCCAGGCACAAGCAGGTAAACAACTTCTACCTTGTGACAGCAAAGAGATGAGAGATGTCTCCTCGTTCGTGACCTAGAGAGCAGAAATATCACAGACTTGCATACAAGACAATTGTTTAATACGTTCACAAATCAATTTTATTAATTTAAAACAAAATTAATGAAGAAAAATTCTGTACACAATTGTGGACACAACACACTTTTTGTACAATAAGGCCCAGATAAACTGTTTTGTTTTTTTCAGTCCGTGAGTGACTACAAATTGAAAAGAGCCAAAAAAAAAAAAAAAAAGACAACCAACCCCCCATCACTGTCTACTTTGCTTGAGGAAAAAAAAAGGCTAATTATTGTCTCAATTCTAAAAACTACTCACAACGTGCTTTATGTACGTATGTGAGTACTGCGTGAATTCCAGCACTCATACTGGGTAAAGTAAAGCACATGTGCAAGTCTTGTTAGGATAAAAACCTCTCTGTTGGTAATAAAGCAATCCACAAACATTGAATTCTAGCAGCAATATGATTCCTCCAATAGAGAAGGGTGGTGGTGTGTAGCTACATTGGTGCTTTGTAGCTTTGCAGGTAGCTGTTTCAAGGCTGGTGTTTTTAAGCAAAGGAAAACAAGAAGAAAAGCTGGAGAATGAACCAACAAAGCCGAGGCTTCTTTTTAATGAAAAGATTTAAATCAGGTAAAGGGAATTGGTACAATTCAAGCCGAAAAGTCAGACTAACAGTTTATCTGACCAAGTAGCTCATGGCCTTCAAGATTAGAAAAGTCACAAGTCACAGACAGACACAGTCTAGGTTTGTCCTGTAAATGGGTATAGACAAAAGCAGATTTTAACTCCTTGGTGATAACTATTTCAGTATTTCCATTGCCGGCAATGGATGTTATATCTTAGGAAAATCTGACTCCTGGTGGAAGAGGATTAAAAAACTTATATGTATATGAGTATTCTTGTTCAATTTCTCCAAAATATTCCCATTTCTAATTTCTAAAAATAACAATGATGAAAGTTTCCTTCATTTTTGGATGAGACAAAAGCTATTTGGTACCAAGATTCCAGTTTAAGTCATGTCTTAAAATACATTTGTGTTCTCCCTCTATTTCTTTATGGAATGAATCTGCTAATTCATTTTTCAATACTTTAAAAAGGGGTTAATATGTTAACGTTAGAAGAGGAAACAGAAGATGGCAAAGGACTCCTCTTCAGTTGTGTTTTATCTATATTTCCTTCGTGGGGGGAAAGAAATCAAACTTTTCATAATCAGAGTAGGTGAGAGAAGAAGAAGGTAGAGAAACAGCTGAGAAGAACAAAACCCAATTCTTATTGACACTTGACATCCATGCTTTTGGTCTTGACAAATTTATCTAAAAAAATCCATTATCTACATATTTATATCCAACGCATTGATAAGGCACTGCACAACAGTTTGTGCACACGTGGCCTCATTCTTCACCAACAAGGCATTACTATCTTTCAATAGCATTTACCTTAACAATATGTAAAAGAATCATTCATTATTACAAATTTACACAAAAAATTCTTCCTGTACATGATTGTCTCAGTGATGTACCTATTAGTTTAAATTAGACATATTTTAAACTACTCTGTAATGTGCTAAAATCAAAAGTAGTTGCTGTACCATAAGGCAAAGGCTTATAATAGCCTTTAATCCTATTATACATATCCTCAGTTATATGATGTCAAAATATAGTCTGTTCATAAATAAGTAAAGATGTACAGAGTACCCTGGGTATGAGAAACCAAAAAGTAAACCTTCTTTACAAGAAAATTACTCCACTGGTATTTTGAAAAATCTCAGTCTTCATTGTGCAATCAAGTTTGCTGTGTTGAAGAAATGGTGTGTGTCACATTGAAGAGTCTAAAAACTACAAAGCATCTGCAGGTCCTTTTTTTTCTTCACAGGTATGAACCTTTTATTTCTTTTTTTTTTTTCCTTCTCTATTTCTTTTTGGTAGTGAATACGGTAAAGATGAGTTGTTCAAACATTTGCATGGCTTATTTTCGTTGGACTCGCAGTACCAGAGTCAACAGCTGTTCTGAAGAAAAAGACATGCTCCTCCGTTTACTGAAAGGGCAAGGGTTAAGACCAATTGCAGCTGTACGTCAACATGTTGAAATCACAAAGTTCTGTAGTCCAATGCTGACACAAGACACAGACATCCCGTCCATGGGCAGAAGGAGGCTCTGGGGTTTCAAAGTGCTGCTGAGCTGCTACAAGTACTCCAGTTCCAAGGCATGGTGAAGGGCCATAAGGTCAGAGTGGCTTGAGATCCTCCAAAATGGCATAGCATGCTGTGAACAGCACAGACAACATGTAAAAATAACCCCAAGTATTCTGGTATTTAGACCCACCCATTGTCTTTCGCAAGGATAAGGGAACACTGTGAGGGGAGAAAAAGAGCTCTTAAAACCTCAAGCCCTTCATGTTCATCTCTGGTTTCTCTGAACCACTCCCTCAACATAAATTCTCAATAATAGCAAATCTATTTACCAACAGCAACAACAGCAAACGTGTCAGGAGATCATAAGGAACGGAAGGGTTTCTCATCTCTTTATAAGAAAAACAGGTTTCAGCACGTTGCAGAAGAAAACATTATTTCTAGAAAAAAATTAAGAAAAATAACCTATACATGAAGCATGTGGGTAGTTCGAGGAGGGGAACAGAACTTGATTAAAACCCAAACAATAAAGGAAGTGAAAGTATTATTTACTATCAAAATGTGTTCATTCCTTGTGGAATTATGCCTGGCAGGTGAGTTAAGAACATAGCCATGGTGATTCAGAATAGCTCATGTGTTGCTTCCATCACTTTGAAAGGAATTTCATCCCAGTGGTTTGTATAACATCGCTCATTGTTAGCACTGATCTTAAAACATCTTTTCCATATGGGACAATTTTAAAATAAATACTTTTTTTTTTCCTCTTAGCTGTAATAAAATCTGTCTGGAGCACAAATACGTTTGCAAATAACCTGAGTAAACCAAAACCACAAATACCAGGAAAAAGCACAGATTACCTCATCCATGAAGGTAAAAATCTGATTAAGAACTATCTTTATACTCTAAACCAGGGATTATAGTGTCAGCAAGAACTTTTGCATAAATAATAAAAAAAAGATAACCATCAGCTTTCGTCAGGAAAATATTCTATAAATCCCATGGGAAAACAGTTTCAATTCAGCAATGTTCTGAAGGCTAACAGGATCATGTTCACCTTTTCATTGGGTCAGCTTGTGTCCCGGCATCTTTAGGAGGCAAACCACAAGCAAATTATTATCATAATAGCTGCTGAGCTCCCCAAGCATTTCATCTACAACTTCTCAGAGAGGCTTTGTTCATCCTCCTTCAGCACGTCCTGAGTAAATTCCTAATTTTCCTGAAGTCAGTGTCAAAACTCCATCTCTTCTGATTATCATTTCAACACTGACCTCCTTCTTTCATTCAGTTAATTTTAATTAAATTTTAAGTTAGAGAACAATTTTAAGATAAATTTAAGTTAAATTTAAGTTAAATTTAAGTTAGAGAACAATTTTGAAAACAATGTGAAACTCTGTTTCCAGCTGTGTGTTTACTGTAAGCCCTGTAATTTTACCTTATACCTATCTCAGAAGGCAAACACCTTAGCACAGAGGTGCTTAAACATCTGTCTGTCAGTGTATAAATAATTATTATTTTTAGAAAAATGCTGCTTCAGTCCAGATAATGATGTGATGATGAACTGGGTTGGATTTATAGGATAAAGCAGCGTTTTTTAAAAGAAATGTAACCATGTAAGTAGCGGCAAGTCTCTCTGAAGTCAAATGGCAACTGTTAAGGAACAATCAACTGTTGCTCTTGCAAGAGTCAGAGAAAGTAATACTGAATTAATGAATATTAATAAGCTAGACTAAAGAGTTGTACATGATCAGCAAGGGAGCACTGTAAGGAATCTGGAAAATGCACACCCGATGAAGGACAAGTGTTAGCAAGTAGAGTTGCACAATCAGAGGGACTGCAGAGCGAAGGAGGTGGCACTGAGCACCCAGTGCCCATGTTTCAGGGGTTTCACTTCAGAATAGCTCTAGGCTGCCATTGTGGAAAAAGCGCCCATTAGCAGTTGGAGAGCATTTTGTGAGCACCTGGACAATATATTGTTCTTTAGTTCTATCCAAAAGAAATCCATTGGGTTCCCCCCAGCCCTAAAGCCAGTCCAGGATGTTAATCAAAGCATAGTAAGGGGGAATGACTGGTAGGTCTGCTTTGATATGACACTCCTGATCTAAATTGAAATGTAATAACAGATGCATCAACAGATGCCCACATTCAAAGTATGCCTAGCTTTTAGAGCAAAGAAATTTCTTCAGGAAGAAAATAAGGTGACTCACAAGGAAGCACCATTAGGAGAGTTTCTTTCTGCTTGGCTTTAGATTGTTACAAAACCCTGAGAAACAGCTGACTAAACCTCAGCTTGAAGATAAATGCATGGGCGATAGCTGCTTGTGGAGAGAACAAAACAACCAACCAAAGTAATTCGGAGACAATTGAGATGCTGGAAAAAATGCTTATGGTATTTCCAAAACACTTTTACAGATTAATCCTTTCCTTAAGAAGGAAGTGTTAAATGCTGACTATGACACCTACTATTTCTACATCTTCAATCTAGACTTCCATTGTACTGTCTCTATGCTCCATCAGTAAGAGAAACTAGATGCAATTAGCTTACTCAGTTACAACTCCACGTCCCTGTGTCTTCCCTGTTCCATTATACAGCTCGTCTATCCTCTGTGCTCTGCCAGGTGGCCAGACACTGCTGCTTTCCAACTCAAATCTTTCCTAAAGATTCATTTCTTGCACCATGTTCAGGAAACGAACCAGCAAGAGCAAAACAAAATAAAAATTCCTAATCATGCTGTTCCCTGGACTCACCAAAAGCTTCTGCGCACCTATCTCTTATTTAGGCTGTGAGATCTTCCTGGCATAATTTATAACATCTGATAGGGGTATTCAATCAAGGACAGATGGGCAGAGGTTTGTGCCTGTGGCAGGTCCCTGCAGTGTTTGCCAGCTGACTGCACTTGGCCAGCGGCGCTCAGCCGTGCTGCCTCCCTTTCTTGCGCGGCTGCAGTTTCCCTCGTCTCTCACAAGCCCCCTGCCAGGTAGGACCTACCTGCCCTCCCTGCCAGCCAGCCATAGCTCCCTGCTTCTCTTAGTCAGCTTGGCACCAGCTCTGCCTCAACCACTGGGTCAGGGAGGTGTAAATAGTGTACCTAAGATGTGGCGAGGCAAAGAGTTTGATGGACACCTGCCTTTGCGTAGTGTCTCTGCAGAAGCCAAGAGTCAATGACGTGGATGCCCTCCAAGGTCATACAGCAAACTAATGAATAGGGAGAATTGTAGTAATAAATTCTTGGCTTCCAGCTCCCACTTCATGCAGCTCCAGCATTATACTGCTTCCCTAGTAACAACCTCAGCAACACAGAGCATACACACACCAGGCATCTAGGGCAGTTAAAGACCCTGATTGATTTAACAGAAGGTTTAGCTTCTGCTAAATCAAATCACAGCGATTCTTGCTAGATGCCCATATGCAATATCAAGTTTTGGATTACCCTCAGCTGTTTATGGTCAGATTTTAAACCAAACTTTAGGTGGTCATTATTTTGGCTATATCTTTCTATTTCTAATTCACTTAAGTGTCCTCCACTTTATTTATGTCTGTCTGTGAAAGGAGTATACCTCCACTTACTCCATGTAGTTACAGGACTGAGGTGTGGAATGATTCTGAAGAGTCCCATGAAAACAAAGAGGTTGTGTAAACCTCAGGATTATAATTATTTTCAGCTCTCCTGCATATAGGTCAAAAGACCAGCAGCACACTCCCAAGAAATAAAGCACGCCAGGAACGCAGCCACTGCACGGGGCTGGAATCTGCACTAGCGCGCTCTGCACGGCCGAACGCGGCCGATTCAGATCTCTATCAGTCTGACCCTACGGCACAGTCTTCATAGCTAAGAGGAGGGAAACAAACCTGATACAGATCTATATATATCTACATCTATATGTCTGCGTATGTATATACAGTTTCACACACGTATGTATCCATATATACATACCTGTGTTCACGGGGCATATACAGTAATTTTCACCTCATCTAAGATAAGAAAAGATTGTACAAAACTAAAACATTTAAAATAACAAAAGTATCATACAAAACCTTTTATGTTATTCCTGTATTAACATGCCCCATTTATCCACAACTATTCAGCGCTGTCAAAAGTGGCAACACACCCATGAGAAAGAAGTACATTTTTTCTTACCAAATGATCGGGCAAGAGTTTCTTTGTATATATATTTACTAAATATTGCCTTTAGGAAGCCATCCCTGCCAACACTTAGCACACATGTCATGTACAACACGTGTCTTCTATTCTGAGCACACTGAAAAATGCTAATATCTCATTTGCTGCTGTGGGAGAATGGATGACAAATGCTAACCGCTAATAAATAGGTGGTGTAACTGGATGCATTAGATATAGTGAAACTGTAAGAAAGTTTTTCTTACTCTATATTGGAGGAATATGCATCTAGACTGGTAGTAAAACAATGATCTTGTGTACTATTTCAGCATCTTCCAAGTAAATACGAAGCTTTTGTCTTTTAAAAAACATTAATTGTTTTGTAGATGATACTTGGTAATAAATACATTTATGAACTTCTTAATGATTTAATTTTCATGACATTTTAAAATGAAGAATGGCAGCAAAAGTTTGAATTTGGTTTTGGTGTAAAAAGCATGAAAAGTGAAATTATTAATTTAGTAAATCTAATAATTACAACATTATTCAATAACCTAAGTATTAGGTTATTTATTATTTCTAAAATATTATTTCTAAAATATTAAGGTATTTTATTTCTGAAATAGAAGCAATATTATTTTTTAGCATGTATTTACTAAAACAACAAAACTTCAACTATTTTATCCAACAAAATAAAGTGTTTCTATTAATGCACGTGCAAAACAAAGCCATATTTTAACGGCAACACCGAAAAGTGCAGACTCTCCTCCTTCCCTTAAATGAATACATATTTATATAAAATCTTACTCCTGAGATTTGCGACGGATTTGAATAGAAAACTCATCAGTTTCTGTCATCTTTCACAGTATTTTTGTTGTGTCCCTGCCAGATTTGCTAAGCGGTCGTCTTTACTTCCTACCCCAAACCTGACCAGCACAGTGTGACTGTGAACTTAAAAGCAGTGGCATATTGGATACCCATTTATATTCTATTTATTGCTCCACAAAGATTTATGATTTTTCCTCCCAATTTCCCTCCGAGGCAGCATGACCATTTTGGAGACAAAAGGAGAAGCCAATTTGCCCAGGCTCTCCCGAATCACCTGATGTAAAATCCAGCTCCGCAGTGCAGAGAGCCTCCTCCTTTGTCTCCTCTCGCAAATTAGAAATCCTTTGGAGGATTCTCCTAAGTAGAAAAACTCAGGAGTTGGGGTTTTTTCTGCCTTACGAGTATTTCCCGACTGTGTCTCCAAAGGCAAAGGCAAAAGATGAGCTCAAACAAAACAAAACAAAACACAGCTAAACAAAACAAAAACCAAAACACAAAACGAAACAAAGCAAAGCAAAACAAAATGCCAAGACAATGGAGTCTCTGGCAGAAAAACCCAGAAACTTATTATGTGAATAGCTGTGTCACCACAGTGGCACCCAGATGTGGCGGCTCTGACCCACCCGTGTGGGTGGGTGCACCTGCACCCCCTGCACCCAGTGCCGGCAGCAGTCCCGGGCACCCCTCAGCTCTCACACCGGTTTCTCTCTCCCCTCCTCTCCCCCTTTTCCCAGGGAAGCTGAGCTGAAGGTAGCAACCTCCCTGTAACCCTCCGCCACCCTGGCTGCGTGCTGAACTGATCCAGAAGGGTATGATCATTCCTCAGTCTGCAACGCAAACATCCCGAGAATTGTAATTGTCTTGTAAAATATTTTGCTGGAAGTGACAGCTAAACAAAGGTGTTGATACCATGGCTTGTCCCGTGCTACGTGAAACGTAAGAGCGTGCGGTTTCCTTAGTGTACTGTATTTATTTTCATCAATCAAAAGAGGCATTTTATGAAAAAACAGTCTACCCTAAAAATGTTTCTCAAAAGAACAATGATCTTTTAAACGGTATGAAAAAGTTTCTATTATTGAATTTTCACAATAATGACAGTAATAAAAAGAATTTAACTGTGTCCTTTATTTTTCCTATTGTATTGACTCAGGATTTTCTGTGAATGAAGGACATAAATGAAAATCTTGTTTTATGATGAAGCAATTGATAAATTATTGATAAATTCTTTTTTAATAACAAACCTTAACTTTCTTACCTCCTAAGCTAGAAGTTCAGCTCTTTTTCAGTAAACAAACACAGAATAAAAAATCTCTCAAATTAAATAGGTTTGAATTTACACACTCACTTAAAAATACTCGTTATAGTTTACATGTAATTAATGAAGTGCTATTTAAACAAGGGTGTACTGTTTATGCTCTAAGTCGTGTAAAGAAACGCACATCTACTAAGGGCTTCACCCCAGGCCAAACCCCTCCAGCAACGTGCTGTGCAAAGGGATAACACAAAAGCTGTCCCTGCCCTGAGAATATCACAAAACCCAACGTGCTGATGGGAAGGAAGGAAGGTAGGAAGGAACCAGCTAGTTCAGGGGATAAGCAAGGCAATGGGGTACACCATGGGACAGTTATGCCACTGTGGACTGATGGGCTTTGCGTGTTTTTGTCGGGGTAAACCTTCTCCTGTTTTGTTTGCACACTCTCCGGAGAAGGTCTAGGCTTTTACTGTTTTCTAATACGGTGATACCATTCATTCCTTAGACAGGGCATACGTCTTTAAACTGAAGCACTAGGGTGCATTCCCATCTCAATCCTCCTAATAACCCTAAAAATAACCTGAGGAGCAGGTAACCAAAAAGGCATCATCTGAGTTGGGAGCAGCTCCTCGTACCGCAAGGCACTGTGTGGTTCTTGCCCTTGCAGGATGCGAGGGCCAAAACTTAAGAGGCTAATCCTGCTTTCACAGTGTGAAACGGTCACTTCTTTTCTGGTGGAGTAAGAAGCGGGACAAGAATCAAACAAGCACTTTCCTTAATGAAATTAATAGTTTCTGCAGAAAGGCAGGGCTGCTGGTCTACTTATTGACTTCTCCAGCATCACTGCAGCAGATAATTTAATCCAGAGCATCTAACATGCTTTGAATCTGAAAATTCCTTCCACCGAGAAAGAATACACAGAAGTAATGGCACAAAGGAACTTTCTATACTGCTACTCCTCTTAGCAACTGGAAAGTCTTTCTCTTATGCTTTTCTGAATCATGTTTCCTGTTGAAAAAAGCATTGAATTAGATAATGTTACCGAAAGGACTACTCCTGCCATTATCATATACAACACTGTTTCACCGAGCAACAGAAAGGGAACAAAGAGAAGAATTTTTTTCCCCCCGATCTTAAATGCAGCTTTTAAAATGTAATCATTTACAGCGGGAAAACATTTCTCTGCAAAGATGAAAGGCATTTCTGAAGGAGAAAGGAGCAAACTGTTCCCGTCAGTCCGCCAAAGGGATATATGAAACTGAAACTCTGTGAAGTGCCGAGATGAGCTGGGAATCTACCCGCAATGCTTTGGGGGGACAAACCCCAGATTTCATGAAGCAAAACCAGTCAATGGTTGTTAAAACACCATGCGGACTAATTAGTTTAATTTCTCCAATTTAGAAAGTTACAGGGGAAACAGATCTAGAAGTGCCACAGACAGTTTTGTGATTAAAAAACCAGCTGTGTAAAAGCAATTCACCTGTAAAAGGAACGAAGAACAGAAATGCCCATTTTCCTACTCTTTCTCCTACTATTCAGATAGCCAATATAATGCCTCATTCCTCCAAGTGAAGACTGTATCTGCTGTACTTGGGTAGAATAGCAAGGCTAGGAATACTGCCTATTATTTGTCAGTGGGAAGTACTGCTTTTTATGGAGCTTACTCCACACTGGGGCAAAAAAAAAGTGAATTTTTCCCTTCTTCCCAAGGGAAAGCAAAAAATAATAAAGACATAGTCAAACAGTATCCTCTGCTCAGTTAACTGAGGTTATGAACGCAGGACAAGCCACAGGTAGTTACCTGAATGCAGAATCCAAATTATGGACGCACAAGAAAGCTGAAATTTATGTATACTTACTCCAGTCCTACATACCTTTTCAAGGTGTGACATACATGTATTTCATGTAGTCAAATAGCACACTGCCTTTGATCAGCAAGAATTGCCATTTTTTGCTTATACTCATAACATCCTATGTGGTATTTTGGGATGCCAATGAAAACAGAACTATTAGTTCTTGGCACAAAAGCCGGGGTCCATTTTCTGGCTCCTTTTTGAAATACATCAAACATACACAGCTAGCATAATGTGTCTCCTGGAGAACAGCAGGGCACATTATTATCTAGAGTTTTATGTAGCTTTCTACTAGATATGGTCCAAACATATTTCATAAAGCAAAGATACAAAACTCAAATGTCAATGCATGCTGTCCTGTGTCGAAGAAAAGACAATTTTGCTTTCAGATTCTTGAAATCAACCCACACTGAAAAAGGGTCATTACCTTTTTTGCACCTTGTTCTTCTTCGACACCATCCCCTATAACGACATACACTACTTTTCTTCCAAACCTTTGAATTATTCGCTCAAAACAACTTTCCTTTCCTGAAAGAAAAAGATCAGACTATTCAGGATAGGTGGTGATGGGATGACATCAAATAAACCACTTTTTAGCCTGCATCTCCCCAACGCTTTGAATACGTAATTAGAGCTACTGGGAGAGAAGACCCTCTCCCGCAGGATGGTGTATCAAGGCCGACTGCAGCTTTACTCCCACCACAGCAGCTGACAGGCAACCTTAAAATCTGCTCCATGAAGTCCTTTAGTACACACGCCATGGCAGGCATAGCAGACTAGAGGTCCGCAATATCACCTTTCTTGTCTCCTTCCCTAATCTGAGACAGGTTTTGAGGGGAATTTCCCTACCAGGAGAATTCTCTACCGGCTGTTTACGGCCAGTATCCTGAACTGAGCAAATTGATTGAATCTGAGTTGAAATTCTAGCTTTTTCTCCACAACCTGTGACAAGATTAATCACAGCTCCTGAAACAGTAGTATCCTGACTTAGAAGGTCACCCAAAAGATTTAGATTTAAATGCCTGTAATCCAATACATGGGCAAGGTCCTTGATCCTGCACTGGGATCCATTAACATGGCTCATTACTTCACTGCACAGACCCAGGGACATGATCCCAGTGTTCCACTTCTTCATGTAGGTATTGATGCTGGGAAGCTTCAGGTACTGGTACTGTGAAGCTAGAAAGAATGCTTACAGCTGAGTTTTCTCAAATGTCCCCATTCTGAAAGATCACTTCAGTCTTGTCATGGTACATGCTTACCTGTCTACAGCAACCAATGGGAAAAATCGTGTTTTTCAAAACAGTTATTTCAGCTAAAGAACAGTACCAGTATAAAAACAAATAGGCTGGAAATTAAAAAAAGGTTTCTAGCCAGCAGAGAAACCAAACTACTCAATGACACCCTTTAACAGTAACGCCAAGCATAAGAAACGTCCCACACTAACTAGGTTGAAATGGTGCTTGAAAATTATGAATCACGTCATGTTACAAAAATCTCATGATTTCCTGGGACAGTCAGTGACTGAACGCAGTTTTCCAAAAATATCTTTCTGTCCTGTGTACGTGAAGGCACAAGTGAATATTTATTAAAACATGTTTTAATTAAAATGCGTATTTAAAGTATTATAATTTAAAGTCTTAATTTACTTTAAGGTTTTGACAGGCGGTACCATAACATTTCTATCCAGAAAACAGTTTTAAATCTTTTATGGTAATGCTTTCAAATTTCTACATAAAACTCCCCACCAATTTTTTTTCAAAAAACAAAACCAAACAAAAATAACGCACCATTTTTTCTTGGCCATTTGAGCTTCCTGTTTTACAGATACTTAAGAACACATGAAAAATTTTTGCATGTAGCCCACAATTTTGAGGGAATCTGAGACAGAACAGATATGTCATAATCACGTTAAAACCTACAAGCACCGTTGCCATCTGGTCCTATGTACTTCTGCATACTCAGAATAACATCTTTTATATTGAACCAGAAAACAGAAATAAACATTTGCCCGGCTGAAGCTTATTACAGTCAGTACGAATGAACTTAAATAATTACATTCTGCAGCAAAACATTCCTGC